TTAGGTACACCCATAAGAGCCATCACCTCTAAGAGGTGTGTAATAACAGAATCTGCACTTTCAGAGCTGAGTAGCCCATTGGAAGCCTGAGAACATGTCTACGATATGGTGTACATATTTCAAACTGCCAAATTGGGAGAAGTGAAATACATCCATTTGCAAAAGTTCATTTCTGTGAATACCTTTAGGATTACAACCTGCTGGTAATGGAGTTTGATTGCAGAATGAGTAAGTGGGGCAATTTCTTACTATTTCTTTGGCGTGTTGCCAGGTGATAGAAAAATCCTTCTTTAAACCTTTGCTGTTAACATGGTGTTTCTTATGAAATTCTGAAGCTTCCAACACATTACCTACTTACTAATAAACGATCGATTTCATCATTGCCTTGTGCCAGAGGACCTGGAAGCCCTATATGGGATCTGATGTGTGTTATATATTTGGATGATTCCTGTTTCTGAAGGTTTCCTGTAATTATAAAAACAATGAGGTTAATTCTGTACTATCAGGAACAAATTCTGCAGTCTCAATGTGCAAGACAACTCTCTCTGCATACTGAGACTCCGTGACTATATTGAGAGGCTCTGTAAAGTCTTTAAGTACCATGAGAATGGCATATAACTTTGCCTTTTGTATGGAGTTGTAAGGGCTTTGTAGTACTTTACTTATATTTCCTGATTTATACCCTGACTTACCTAATTAGTTTGCATCCATGTAGTAGGTAGGAACTCCAGAAATAGGTGTTTGTCTCACGATACATGCAAAAATCCAAATTGTTTTCTTAATGAATTTGATTCTCTCTGTTTTGGGATAGTTATTACTAATAGTTACCAAAAAGTCACTGCAAGCTATTTGACAATACTCATTATCCTTACACAAGGAAGAAATTTCATCATTTGTTAAAGGTACAATAATTTCAGCTGGGTCTTTCCCAGTCAGTTGACGAAGCCTTAACTTACCTTTTAATATCAAATCAGAGATCTTTTCTGTATATGTTTTCAATTTTTTATTCTGTTCATGTGGCAGAAATACCCATTCTAATATGATGACTTCCCTCTGCATTAATATTCCTGAGGGGTATTCTCTAGATGGTAAAATAACCAGAATACAGTCCAGTTTTGGATCCTCGAATTATTTCTAGAGTTTTATGTACAAAATATTGACACAAAGTTGGGCTATTTAACATACCTTGAGGCAGGACTTTCCACTGGAATCTTTGTACCGGTCAGGAATTATTATAGGTAGGTACTGTGAAGGCAAACTTTTCTCTGTCGTTTTCTTGTCACGGTATGGTGAAGAAGCAATCTTTTAACTATATAACTATAATTGGCCAATCCTTAGGTTGTAGAGAAGGTAGTGGCATCCCAGTTTTTAGAGACTCCATGGCTGAATTACCTTGTTGATGGATTTCTTTTTCTCAAAATTACTGACAGACTACCAATGCAGATGGACAGTTTGAAATTTCCTGGTTTGCTGAGAAATCTTCTGGACACATTGTGGTATATGGGCTGAAGATGGATGACCCAACATTACACAGAAACTTCGGGTGATGGTCCAGGCAGTAAGATGTCTCTGACAGTCATACTGTTTATATATTATCCTTCTGTAGTCTTTGATGGAGTTGAAGACAGATAGTTATAGTTTTCCGTAGTTATGATAAAAGATAAGCTACTTATAGAGCTTTGGATTCAAACAGATGGGATGGATGATATTTTCTTTGAATCTTGCTAAATGTTGATAGGCAAAATATTGTAACTGTGTTCTTACTTGATAACTGTTCTGTTATATATAATTTGACTATGTTAAAGTTAAGACCTTTATTTTTATTTAGATAGAAAAGATGAGATTTTAGGGAAGTCCTGTGCATATGTCAATAAAGCATTGTTGGCCAATAGGGAAGCAAAATAGGTGGGACTAGGAGTCGAGGAGGACTCTGGGGAGGAAAAACCCAGGCAGTCAAGATGTAACCGCCATAGGGATAAGATGCCTAGAAACTTCTCCAGTAAGAGAAATACTTAGATTAACAATTGTGGCATAAATACTTAAGTCAGAGCTAACCAGTAAGAAACACGCAAGGCCAACAGCTTCATAATTAATACAGTGTCTTGTGTGTCATTTGGAGACTACAACCCAGCAGAGCTCAGGCATCTGGTGGGGAAAAACCTAAAGCAGCAGACATGAAAACTCTTCTCTCTACAAGTATGTGGTAAGGAGACTTGACTTTTCCAGTCCAGGCTATTTGGTATTCTGTATGATACTTGTACCTTGATGGGCATCTCTTTAGGTTAGCAAATTTTTCTTCTAAGATTTTGTTGAAAATATGTTCCAGGCCTTAGAATTGATCTGGGATTTTTCTCTTTCCATTCCTATTGTTCTTACATTTGGTAGTTTCACAATGCCCCAGATTTCCTGGATGTTTCATACCAAGAGGTTTTTAGATTTAATATTTTGTTTGACAGATATATCCATGTCTTCTATTGTATTTTCAGTTCTTATGATTGTGTCTTCTATCTTCTGTATTCTGTTAGTCAGTGTTACCACTTTAGGTTCTCTTCAAGTTCCTCAATTTTTGATTTTGAGAATTCCCTCAGTTTGTGATTTCTCTGTTGGTTCTATTTTTATTTTCAACTGTTTAACAGTTTTACTTATTTTCTTACACTGTTTGTGTTGTCTTTGATTTCTTTAATGAATTCATTCATTTCCTCCTTAGGGAACTCTATATTATTCATGGAGGCTGTTTTAAGGTCTTTTTCTTGAGTTTAACCTGTGCTGTTATACTCAGTGCCTGCTGTGGTCGGGTTGCTGGGCTCTGATGGAGACTTATTGTCCTGGCTGTTATTGACTGTGTTTCTATGCTGGAGCCTTGGCATCTGGAATTTGGAGGATGTCTATGTGCTGGTATTTGGCTTTGTCTTTGATGGGTGGGTTTTTGTTCCTTTGTTTCTGTTTCTTCTCTAGAATTTATGGATTGTGGCAGCTTGTGTATGAAATTTTGTGTGGACCTGAAAGGTGTGGGCATTGGGGGTTCAAGTAATAAGCATTTTGTAGTATTGGGACCTGTGATGGCTATCCTTGGTTGTCAATTTGACTAGATCTGGAATGAACTATTATCAAGAAATGGATGGCATACCTGTGATCTGGACCTTGAGGCAAGAAAACAACATGCTTTCCATTCAGACCTTGTGGTTAGATGATCCATGCTTTTAATCCAGACCTTGAGTCTGGAAAACACATCTTTAATATGGGTCACATTTTCTGCAGGAAGAGGTCACCATGTGGTGTAGGAAGGAAAAGTAAAGCTGCCTGGTGAGGTATGCTTGTCTTGTGTCATTCTTGAGGCAGTGAGCCTACAGAGTCAATACTTGCTAGGTGGTGAGCATCAAGGACATTTGACACCTTCTTTCAGTGTCTGGGAGATCCTCACCTCCTCCATGTGTGGCCTTAGGAATACCTTAGCACAAGGAACCAGAAGCACTCTTCTCTTCCCAGGCAATGTCTGAAGGAGGAGGCTGAACACAAACAGTGTTCTCAGAGGGACTTCGGAAGGATGGGGAATGACAAGAGAGAGCAGAAGAGGAGGACACGGACCCGTGTCCAGGACTCCACATTTGTGAGGCCCTTTACTGCCATTGCCAGTTCTTCCTCCCACAATCCACAGCCCTTCCACGGGGCAGTGTACAGCCCAAGGAATTACTTAGGCAATGCCACAATTCCCAGCCCTACCCAATCTCTTGGTGGTCATACCACCCTCTCCTAAAGGAGAGGTGCACACAACACATCTCCATTAGGGTTGGCTCTGAGTTTAAGAAACAAGGGGGAGCTAGTTTGGATAGGAGGAACCTAGAAGGTGGCAGGTGCTACAGACTTTGTGGGGAATCTACTTGCAATGGAATGCCTAAGGAGGGCCAGATTCCCTTTGCCTGAACACTGAATGGAGCCACTTGTGGCTTCAGGCAGCTGTGACAGAGCATGGACTGCCAAGTTCTCTCTAGACCATGGGGACATGAGGTACAATCAACAGATGCCCCCTCCCCAAGGAAGGCAAGGACTCTTCCAGCAAGAGGAAGGACGTTGACACTATTGCTATTCCTGGTTAACCAATGATCCATTTTCCCAAAGGAAGTACTTGCCCCTTGCCCAGAGCTAGCCTGCAACTCTCGCTAGTTTGCTTAGGCTTCAGATTGTGTCAGACTCTCTGAAACCAGACCAGTCTGATATGCAGGTACAAACTTGACTTTTGGTTCCATCGTCCCAGCAGTCCCTGTGGAAAGGCCCTTCAGTGGCCCTCCAACGCTTGTACTTCATTTGCTAGGTAACCACTGGACAGAGAGAAGAATGTGGATGCCTCAAAAAGCCATGCTTCCTGGAATTGCTCCTCCCACAGTTACCTCCTTTAAGTGTCTCTACATCCTAGGCATGGATCCTCCTGGCCTCTCTAGTCCCAGAGCCTGTCTCTCCTCAGGGTCCTACTTGCCAAGCAGACCTTGAGTCCCCTTACTGTGTACCTCTTTTACACTGCTCTGTGTATTCTTCTAGCAAGTCCTTCTGCTTTCTGGAGCCAGAAGGTGCCAGAAAGTTCACTCTGTTTGTCACTCCTCCCTTCCCAACCTATGTTTCTTCTTCCTTCACTCTGTCCCTCCCCTCATTCTGGCTTCTGTCTCATTGTGGATCCCTTCCACCTCTCCCTAGGCAGTCCCCTCCTCCTGTGTCCTCCTCCACAGCCCATCTCTAGTTCCTTCTCCTCCTCCCCCCAAGACCAGACCAACTAAGTCCCATTCCATGTTTAGATGGCTGGTTATGATACAAGCTCACTTCTCTCACAGGCTGAATTGACAGCTGTTCCATCTTTCCCTGCCCCACCCACCGAACACTCCCAGCCTTTTCCACAAGGCAAACTGCTCACAGACAGCACCCCATACCCACAGAAATGTGTATTTGACAGGACATCCAACCGTTAAGCCCACGGTGAGCTGCCAGCACACTCAGAAGCAGCAGTCTCTGTGTATCTAGGAAGTACAACTTTATTTCACAGTGGAGTCATTGCTTTGCCAATCAATCAGATTTTCTCCACCAAATCATAAACATAGATATGGAAATCATTTTCAAATTTTATAAAATATACAGAGGGTCTTGAATCAACTTTGTGGATTATCATGCCAATTTTGGTGGTTCCATCTTTCTGGCCATACACCACATATTTGCCTCTAATTTCAAGATCTAAGTTAAGTGGAGGTACTTCTACATGTGGCACAATGCGGAGGTCACCTTCTTTAAAATCATCGCCAAGTTGGTACATGTATAAGATTGGGTCTTTTTCATAAGTAATATAAAACCAGGATTTCATGACTGACACCTGATCTAGAACCAGCCCTCTCCATAATTTAGAATTCCCTTGTTCTCCCTCAAACCTGTGATCCACTGATTTGCCAATGATGGTATCAGCAAGGATGGGATCGGAGACTTGGGATGTGTCTACATTTTCTGGGTGAACTTCAAGGGACAATATCCTCTCATCTTTATAAAGTTCCAATCCATACACGCAATCGACATTATCATATTTGACCAGATATAGGGAGGGGTTTATAGCTATCTGATCTACAACGACTCCCTTCCAGTAGGTGACTCGCCAGTCTTCTTTCCACTGGTGGGAAATTCTGCAGCCCACGATGCTATGTTGGGCAGCGTTTGTTGCGATGGGTTCTGCAACCTCGTTGGTGTTAGAGTCATGGTGTCCTTCAGTACGCATGTTGGGTTGCCCTTCGATCCCTTGGTTCCAGGAATTCAGGTTGCTGGGTCCTGGGTCCATGGCTGAGGAGGGGAAAAAGGAGGAGACCATTAGCTAAGGGGCCAAATGGCCAACTTCTCCTAGTGGGAAGCCTAAGCACCTGTGTTGGTCCCTAACTGCCCCCAAGAAGCCTGAGGACAAACCTGGCTATACACCTGCTGTTGTTCTCTGCTGCTCTAGCTTCCCTGGGCCCCAGCTGGGTGGCAGATAACCAGCAGGATTAGGAATTCAGCTTCACCAGAACTGGCCACTCTTAGGCTCAGCTGCCTGAGCCCATGGCCCCAGGCATTAACCTCTTTGGAGGAGGAGAAATGTGGCAAAGAGCCTCTCCTCTCTTCACCTTGCCTTTTCACCTCAGTGCCCTGAGCATCCCCACCTGGGGACCCTGGCTACTTTCAGGTACTCACATCCTGGCTCCTCTGTGCTATTTTCCGAATCTACGCCTGGCCCCTATAGCCGCCCAGGTCCTCCTCCCTGTGTGCTCCATGTGCCCAGTGCTACTCTGTTTGTCCCTTAGGCCGGTCCCTTCCCACACAGCTCCTGCCTGGTGCCCACCTAGGACCTGGTCTCGCAGGGCATCCTGTAGTGGGGTTCCGGGACTCTGCACGCGGGGATCAGACAACCGCCTCCCTTAAAAGTCCAAGGCGAGAGTGCCCATACTAGGCAGGGCTCGCCAGAGCCCAGAGAAAGGAACCACCAGCCTGCCCGCTTGTCTGCCCACCAAGACTGTCCTGAATGATATCAGGGCAGGCTATGGGATCACTGGTGGTGTCCTGCCGCTGGTGGGCTGGTGGGTCCTTCTGCTGTCCTCTGGTGGAGGCAGCTGCACTGGCACCTGGGAGTTAACCAACTGTGCACCTCTCTTATTCTGAGTGTTTATTTGAGTCTTTTCTCATTTGTGCTTGATTTTGCAGGGCTCTTTTTTTGCTGCTGTTGTTGGTGGTTGTTTTTTGTTTGCTTTTGTTTTGGTCTGGAGCACCTCTTGCATTTCTCTTATTTCCCCGTGTTCATTACTGTGAGCCCTGTTTCATTCTCTTCTCTGGGCTTTCTCATACTGTTGCTTCAGGTACTTTTGTTTCTGAAATTCTTTAATTGCTTTGTCATATAGTAAGGTCCTAAGGTCCAAAGTGTATACTACTTCTCCTCCCTAAAAGGCAGGACCACTGACTTGTTCCAAAATTGCTTCTAAGGTTAGCTCAAACTGAAATATAATAGAATTTCTGGTGGTTAGATAAAAGTCAGCATTCCTCAGGAACCAGTGAAACTGGTTTGTTAGCCCAAAGGAGTCATTTCCATTGTCTCTGCCTGAGGGTCAAATGACTAGCTACTGACATATTCTTCTGATTGCATATCAAAGCCCTTGCTGGCCCTCAGACAGCTTTTGTACCTTTTCACACATATTTGTTAAACACCTTAAAGTCCAGGTCTAGATCCTGGCCCTTCTCACTTGCTCCCCTCTCCTAAACTCCCAGGCTGCTTCAGATCATGGGCTTCCCTACCCACAGCTACTCATTATCTTTTGTAACCCACATAACTTTTCCATGCCCTGCATTAGACCTTGGCAATGTGCAGTCTTTTTTATTTTCTCATTATTCTGGATTCTTCCAGATGCCCCTGGATGTTCTTTTTCTCTTACCTACAATAAAAACCTTCCATCCTTACCCTGGAACAGCCACCTCAGTAGTCTCTTTACTGTGCCCCTTGCTTACACTGTCCAATTCACACATAAACACAAAGTTCACAAAGTTTGGTCATAAATACGTTTCAGGAATAGATCATTTTGTGTATACACTCTGTGCATATTTATAAATAGACATTAATTAATGTACACTAATAATGATTTTCCCTATGATGATAAGGATATCCAGAGTCACATAATCCCAACTTGTAGCTCAGTTCAGTTACATTAGGCACAGGCATAGTTTTTTGTATAGCATATTGACAAACACACCTGTTAACATGTTTCAAATTGCCTTTCTTTTTCTAGACAGGGTTTCTCTGTGTAAACTGGGCTGTTCTGGAACTCACTTCTGTAGACAAGACTGGCCTCAACTCATAGAGATCTGCCTGCTTCTGCCTCCCCAGTGGTGGGATTAAAGTCATTTGCCACTACCACCCAGCTGCTCTGTGTTTCTTTAAAACAGTGCGTATGTATACATTATATCTGAAAACCTGCTTTTGAAAAAAAAACCTACCTAGTTTTAATTGTAAATTATTGTCATTGTGATTTCAATTTATAAATAAATTGGGTTAGTTCATCATACACTGCTTTGGTGATTCATTTTCCTGTCCTTTCTGTTTATGTATATTTTGTGGTAGACAACCTTTGAATCTGGAAATAATATTAGATGCTGTATAAGGGTGCTTTCTATTACATTTCAGTAAAACAAAATAAGATTTTTTTCAATTAACGGATTTTTTTGTTTGAAGTGTTTGACAAATGCAGCATGTTATTAATCTAGGTACACATTGTTAAGGTCTGAATTATTGCCCTATCAAGTCTTATTTTAATTTCAGCACAAAGCCCCTAAGAATGTGACATTTTTGGGGGATGGGGTCTTTATACAGGTAATTAAGGCAAATTCAATCAAATATATCTGTTATAACCCTATATAATTGGAGTTCTTATAAGAAATTAGAATACAGGGATACTCAGATTAGGTCATCCGAAGACATTAGTGGAGACCAACGCTTAGAATCTAAGAGAAATGCCCTGAAAAAAAAGACAAACCTTTTATTCAGTCTTAGGAAGTTCACAATTTTGAGAAAATAAGTTATTTTTTGTTTAAGCCACTAAGTCTATGCTACTTTGTTAAAGCAGTCCTGGCATGCAAATACACTGTTATGCCACCAAAAGCCAAATTTTCCTCAGTCTTCTACTTTGTGTTGTCACTTTCACCCTAGAAAAACTTAGAGCTGTCTAACAGTTTAGCGGATAAATGCTTTCACATTCACAGACAATGGGAAAAAGAGTCATTTCATTGTAAAATCTTTTTTTTGTTTGTTTTTTGAGACAGGATTTCTCTGTACTGTTTTGAAGGCTGTCCTGGAACTCTTTCTGTAGACCAGGCTGGCCTCAAACTCAGAGAGATAAGCCTGTCTCTGCCTCCCAAGTGCTGGGATTAAAGGCGTGTGCCACCAATGCCTGGCTCATTGTAAAACCTTAATAAATTTTTTTTCAAAATTATTTTGTATCATCATAGGTCATTTGCCTCCCATTGTAATGTAGCCCCTCACAATGCTGTGTCCAGTTATTTTAGATCCATTTTATATGCTGATTTAAGAACTAAACACGTTTACCTCATAATGTAGTTCCATTTAGTTTATCACAATAAAAGCCTACTCTTAATTTGGAGGCAATCAACCCAAACTAATTGTCT